CGTGCCTGCCGAGCGGGGAGGGATCAGACTCGGAGCTGGGGGCGGGGCTAGAGGCAACGTGACGCTGCCTGGGCCTCGAGTATGGCGGCGCGAGGGAGGCGTGAGGCGCCTGAGGCGCGGCTGGTTTTGAGAGCTGCGTCTTGTCCCCGAACCGGGCGCCTTCCCGGAGTTTATGTTCTGGTGGGCGAGCTCATCTTAGTGGACAAGAGGCGTTGTAACCTGGGAAATCTTGGGCTGGAGCAGAGGGCAGCAGGCAGGTTAGGGGTGGTGACTGTGTTCTGAATCCCGGAGCAGGGCTCGTCAGGCTTGTGGGCACCGGAGTGTGAGTGTGTGTGTGTGTGTGTGTGAGGAGCAACCTGTTTATCTCTCACAATGAACAGTTGTAAGTGACGTGTACCAAGCGCTTCCATCTGCTAAGCGCTCTTTATAAACACGATCTCATTGAACCCTCGCAGCAACGTTCCTCCCTGTGCCCGGAGCGCGAGGTGGGCCTTGACGGGGACGGGGCCTAGCAGGTGAGCCGCCCCGTGTTCACTGCCGCCCCCTTTTTAAAAGGTTGAGTCACAGTTTACTGAACAAAACGGCAAGATCCTATGGTCGGTTTCATCGAGGTTGGACAATTGCACGAAGTGTTTCTGTCTCTCTCTGTCTCTCTCTCTCTCTCTCTCTCTCTGTGGAACACGCCCACCAGCCCAGCCCAGCTCTTCTCCAAAAAACGGGCACATGAGATGCTTGCAATTCTAAGATTTAGTACCAGCATTTTAACGTTGCTTGTGCAGGTACTTCTGAAGAAAAAGACAATTTCCTATTAATTTACAAAGTGTTCCTTTTACAAACCAGCAGTCGAATAGTCCAGATTTCTTGAAAGACACACCTTTATTGTGTGTGACACATTTCTGTGCCTTGTGTCGGGAAGATGCCCTTTTAATAGCAGCGCTTCGAAAACCTTCACGGAAATAATCATGTAAACCAGTGGTTCTCAACCTTCTGGCCCTTTAAATACAGTTCCTCATGTTGTGACCCAACCATAAAATTGTTTTCGTTGCTACTTCATAACTGTAATGTTGCTACTGTTATGAATCATAATGTAAATATCTGATATGCAGGATGGTCTTAGGCAACCCCTGTGAAAGGGTCGTTCGACCGCCAAAGGGGTCTCGATCCACAGGTTGAGAACCGCTGCCTAGAGCCTTAAATCCCTTAATAAATAGGTTGCTGAATTCTGCCAATAATCTGGAAGAGCTTAGAAGAGTATTCTTCCCCAGTCAAGCCTCCAGATAAAAATACAAACTAGGCAAAGGAGAAACATGGATGTGAGAGAGACATATCCATTGGCTGTCCCCGCAGGGCTGCGGGGCTGGGGTTTGAGCATGCAGCCGGCACCTGTGCAACCGGGGCAATGCCTTTGACTGGGAATCGGACTCACAGGGCCAGCGCTCTAACCACTGAGCAACTGGCCGGGAGAAACATGGATGTTAGAGAGACACATCCATTGGCTGTCCCCGCAGGGCTGACGGAGCTGGGGTTTGAGCGTGCAGCCGGCACCTGTGCAACCGAGGCAATGCCTTTGACTGGGAATCGGGCTCACAGGGCCAGCGCTCTAACCACTGAGCAACTGGCCAGAGCCAAGCAATGTGCCTTTTAAAAAAATGCTTGGACTAACCATCAAAATTTCCTAAGTCAGGAACATCAACGTATCGATATTTATGTATTTGTGGCCATGAATTAATGGCTATTCAGAACTCTGCTGGAAAGTCAGCAGAACCTTTGAGAAGAGGGTGGGACAGTCATTTCTGCACCACAGGGCTCTTCCTGAGACTCGGGGGCAGCTCCCTTAGCTTTTATCCCTTAGCTTTTTTTTTTTTTTTTTTTAGAATTTTCTTTGTGCCTACCATCTTGATTTCATTTGTTTACTACCAAGCTCTTCATTTGACAGATGAAGAAATGGACCCAACAAATAATTTAAAAGTTAAGTGACTTGCCCTGGCTGGGTGGCTCACTTCATTGGAAAGTTGTCCTCTACAGGAAAAGGTTGCGGGTTCAATTCCCGGTCAGGGCACATACTTAGGTTTCAGGTTGGATCCCATATCAGGCGTGTAGGGCAGACAACTGACCAATGTTTCTCTCTCTCTGCCTCCCCGACCCCCTCTCTCTTTCTCAAATCAGTGAAAGCATATCCTCAGGTGAGGATTCAAAAAAAAGTTAAATGACAAGTAGAGTCATACAAGGAGACACTAGCAGAAGAGCAGGAACAGAGGGAAGATAGTAAACTTGGTTTAGAGAAGTTGAAATGAGGTGATTGTGGGATATCTTGATAATACCTATAGATAGTTTGGATAGGTGAGTTGAGTCCAGAGGAGGGATCTAAGCTACAGATACAAAATTGAGTCTTTGTTGATATGTTTAGCAATGTGACTTGAAGGTTGACCTCCTCTCCAAGAAATAAGACCAAAGGTTTTTCCATTCTATCTAGTCACATTTGTAGTCATTTATCATCTGCCCACAACATGCAAAGTATGTCTTGTAGACATATTGCGGAGGGTATTAAAAATGAAAGATAGGAGGCCCTTTCCAGACACTCACAACCAGAAAGCAGCTACACATGGTCTTATTTTTTTAAAAAAAAATATATTTTATTGATTTTTCACAGAAAGGAAGGGAGAGGGACAGAGAGCTAGAAACATCGATGAGAGAGAAACATCGATCAGCTGCCTCCTGCACACCCCCCACTGAGGATGTGCCCACAACCAAGGTACATGCCCTTGACCGGAATCAAACCTGGGACCCTTCAGTCCACAGGCCGATGCTTTATCCACTGAGCCAAACCGATTAGGGCAACACATGGTCTTATTTTAACATATACTTGGGTAAATCCTAGAGGAGAAGCTAAAGTGATGGGATTGCAAGGAGGAAGGGGAGCATCAGATTGACTGGGAAGATCTAGGAAAGCTTAAAGGTTATGGGTTTTGAGCTGATTCTTAAAGGATTGATAGAATTTCATCAGGTAGGTGAAGGTAGAAGGGCATTATAGACAGGTTTGGAAATAGAAGACATTTAGTGGATGTTTTTGGGAACAGAAACCAATAATCATATGATAGGGTTTGAGAAGGTATACGGTTTAAAAAAGTAGATAGGGCTAACTTAATGATGCATTGTAAATTCTCAGTATTTCAAATTCAAGAATCTCTTTTCCAAATATATCTGTTCACTTGGATATGCTGTGAGGCAAATTGTATTTTCTTAAAACTTAATTGATAAATACAATGAAAGCTTGTAACCTAGGCAACCTATAAAAGGAGACATGTTATTCCTGTTCCCAAAGTGATGGTTATAAAAGGTTATATCGTAGTCACATGAATCACTCTTTTATCACTAGATTAGAAAAATCCCACATATGACTAACAGGTGATTTTAGTTTCATTTTAGCCTTCGATCTTAAAGGTTTACAAACTCTTTAATGATACTTGTTTTCAGTGAAGAAGAAATAAAAGAAATGAAGATTTTCTGGAAGAGACTGAGTTAAAGAAGGCTTTTTATATTTGACAAGTAAGTCTAGTCTATATTTTACGTGTGTTAAATTTGGTCGACAAGTGAAAGGTTGCTAGTTTTTACTTTGTAAATATCTGGTTTATTGCCAAGAGATCATGTACAGTGGACAAAGGTTATATATTTGGGCTGACAGCCAGGAAGCCACACAGCTGGGCTGACTTCTGAATAAAATTGGATTGGAACTGTCGTATTAAGTTAGTGTCACGAGTTTCCTAAGAAGTCAAATTTTATAAGTGGCATTTTTTCTCATAAGGTGGTATGGGAATAGTGATCGACTGTAGGGATAGAGGTGAACTGTCCTTCATGCAAGTTGTACAACTATGTGGTTACTGAAAGAGCTGGGAATTTCTTTATGAGAGCTGCTGTATTTACTACCTTGCTGTGTAGGTTTCTCTCCAGTTGCGGTATGTCCCTGCCTCACTAAATTAGGAATATAGAAGATGTCATATTGGGTTAGTTTATTGAATCTGATATTCTACCAATAATGCAATTAGTAAGTTTCTTAGAAGTTATTTTTCCCATCTTATTAAACTTGATTCAAAACTGCTAGTGTTTTCCATATCCGTTCCAGGTAAAGGAAGCTATCTGTGTGGGGTGAGTGATTAAGAAATGCACGTATGGAGTGGTTAGGTATTATAGTTTGTAATTTTAAAGGAATCATCTACTATTAAAAAAAAACGGTTTGCTCTTTAGAGATAACTCACCTAAACACCCAATATCTCTCTAAACTCAGTTTTCTGACCTGTAAAATGGGGCCCATAATATCCTTCTCATAAGGATTTGTAAGGATTAAATGAAATAATATATGTAAAACATTTCACATGAAGTAAACACTCAGAAATGGTAGCTACTTTTATTACTATCTACTCTTCCACCCTATGTGCAATATTTATTTTAATAGAGGAGAATGTTTAACCTGGAGGATTCCATCTCTAGTGGAGAGTTTCAGGCTCTCTGGTTGGCAAGTAGATGAGAATTAGGGTAGAGAAGCCTTTTCCAGTAGAAGCATATCTGAGAAGAAAGGAAGTCCAAGATCAAGGTGAAAAACAGACCCAGTGTCTGGTAAAGGCTCACTTCCTGGTTTGCAGACGGCTTATCTTCTCATATGAAGAGCAGAGAGACCTAGGTTAAGCTTTTTAAAAGATAAATAGTCTGGAAAAAAAGGTAAATAGTTTGAGAGGAAGTTTTCAGTTTGTTAGTATATTGTTGAGACT